TATTGTTATTCGGGGCACTGCTGCTATTGTTGTTAAGCATCTTCTTGCCGCTAGAATCGGTATCCGTTGCGGCTACCTTGGATCCTGGTCCTCCTGCTTCTCCTCCAGCTCCTGCTCCTGCTCCTGCACCGGCTGCCTGGGCAAGACCCGCATAGATCTTGGAATGATGATAGCCATACTTTTTGGTCTGCACATTTTTATGTTTTTCAACATCTCCTGGAAATCTTTCCAATCCAGTCCAACCGTCGGTAATGAATACGTGGACGTGGACGCGTTTTTCTTCGCGTTCAAACTTTGCGAAGAGCCATAGAGCTGTGACACCAACTCGTTGATACCCATTTCCGGGGCATGCGCACTGCGAGCACAGCACAGTTGCTCTTAAACTGCCCAAAAACAATATTCTGTTATATACAACGACAGTACACACTGTCCCCACACTGACTGGCAAAAGTATACACCACAAAACACGTCCGACAGTTGGAGAGTTCAGCGCCAACTAACCAACGAATCTGCAAGCAAACAGCAAACTCAATGGATCCGCTCTCGTGAAGCTTCAGTCCCGCTCGCCGGCTTTAACTTTTTAGCTCTGAAACTTCAAACAAATTCAACTCCCGATTGCGACTGCGACGACGACTTTAACCACGGATTACTATACTTTATAGAGCAGCTAAAGCAAGCACCACCGGATCTGCCGATTGCACCAATGGAAATGCAATCGGTCGTCATGAATTAATCCAAATTCAATTGTGCACATTTGATAAAAACTACAATTTGAATTTTGACTATAGCTATGAAAACGAAAACGAAGGATTATACTAACTCAAAAATACAAATATTTGGCAACAAATACATGGCTAATTAGGTGAATTTTTTAAAAGAATTACGAGAGTAAGATTTCCTGATAAAACATCGAAAACCTTCCACCTTTTTGTATTATTTATAACTTTCCAGCTTCTGTTATTATTTATTTATTCAAATATAAAAGAAAAGCTGCTCCGCCATACATCCAATCCATCCATCTTCTCTTTTTGTTGTGGACTTTGTAATTATGGGGTTATTTTTCTCTCTCTATATATTTTTGTTTTAAATTGTCGCCATGACTTTCGCGTCACAGTTGGCCAACAGCAAGAGTAGTTTTTGGGCCTGGTCATTGACTGACGGGCTAACTGGCTGTCGTGTATGAGCCAAGTATGCAAAATATAATACAAACAAAAGTAGAGAAAACTTAGGGAATGATTACGGTTGAAAAGAATCAAAACTGAGCAACACATAGCTCATTAAAAGCCACGCTCCAGTTAGAAGCTCAGGAGCTATAAACTTTATCAAGTCTGAAGAGATCATAATTGTGGCCGGACAAGAAAGTATTTTATTGAAAAGAATTGACCACATGTAAACCCAAAAAAAGAAACCCACAAAAATTAATTTGGCCAGGACTGAGTTAAAAGAAATTATCATAGCGTGTGCCGGATATTGAATGTAAGCCAAAAAAAAAACCGAAAGTTTCAGATTAATAGGAATTGGGGAGAGTTACGTAAAGCCAAAAAAATATATAATACAATTGTTGAATTGAAGAAAGCGGAGGCCAAACTTTATTTCCCTCCACGCGAATTACTTTAAAGAAAATAAATATATACCGCCCCATAAATAATGCCGATAAAATTGTATGCATAACTATAGCACCATAAAAAAAACTACATTCTCACGCTTAAATATATTATTCAAAGCCGAAATTACCCAAGCCCTAAGAGCTCACAATTTATGCAATATTTGGCTTCGGTTTTTAGCCAACTTTTGTGTGCAAATTGTAAAACCCACGAAGAAATCCGCATCTTCTCTTCTTGCATAAATTTGTCATGCGAATTAGGTTTTGTGAAATGTTTGCCGACAGTTCAATATAAAAATGTTCATAGCCTAAAAGATGTGTCAGAGGCGGGCTAATTAAGGTTGTTTACTATAAAGAATCTGTCTTAGCAATCATTTTAGATACATTATAAATCAATTAAATACTTTCCCATCGACCACCAATGAAGCAATTTTGTAAATGAACCAAGCTATTTATTTTCTTACAAACAGTTTTTAGGCTTACAAAAGCTAGCCATGTGTGGGCTTCAAATGAATTGCAAATTGTATGGAACGTTACGTACTCAATACTCCAATAGTAGCAATACTATATGATGTATTTTTTTTAACGTTGGTTACGCATGGCAGAAATCCGAAAAAGAAAAGTAAAAGTATTTCCAAACAAAAGGCAAAAAATAAATAAAATATACTGGAAAGGTGCGTGTTGGGTGTTTGATTTCTCGCAAAGAGGAGGTCGCCAACGGCCATTAACTCTTCTTTTTTCTGCGATGTCAGTACCAATGTGCATCAACAAATTGTAATTTAAAAATTGCAAAATGCAAATACAGTTGATTGTTGTTTGCAATGATGTTTGTTTTTCTAACGCCTGAAGTGTGCCATCGAAGAGGTAGATGAAAAACGCTTGACAATTAATCGGGGTAAAAGCGTGAAAAATGGCCATAAAGAAAAGCGACAACGATAACGACATCGCCGAAATCAATGAACTTGATGGGTGTAGGCCATAAATTAGAGTGAAAACAAGCCAAGTCAGATAATAGCCAGGCCTTTTGGCCACACACTATATGCCACACACATTTAGACACACACCACGAAGGCAAAGTAACCAAAATAGAGTTGGCGTGTGTTTAAAAAGATTTAAGGTTTGTGGTATACTCTTACAGAAATAATACCATGGATACATAATAAGATATCGGGTTTATATCTTTAAGGAAATAAGAAATATACATAAGGCAGTATCAATTACCAACTTCAAAACATTTTAAGTATGTATAAAATTATATATTAATTATTATTAAAATTGTCAAAGTATTCATACAACTTTAAAACAAAAATGCAAACGGTAGTTAGTAATACCTTGGTTTAGAAATACCTAAAAAGTTGAGCCCAAATTCATATTTCTTTTCCAACTATCTTGAATTTGCATTTCATTTATTTAAATATATTTTTATAATACTATTCAGTCATTATTATATTTTTCCTCTCAATATAAATATTAAACAGAATTATTTCCCAATACTAATAAGAGCATTCACTATTCACTTTTATAACATTTACAACTTTCTCACTGTCTTTTCACATGCGGGCCACAATCACACACAATCAAAATTAAATGACAACTTAATTGATCGTCTTCCCCCAAAAGTGGATGGTGTGAAAGCAATAAATAAAATTCGACAAAATAGACTGAAGCGCGACTCCAAAAATGAGTGTGGGTGAAAACCGATTGCTTAAATCGAAGACTGGTCTGCTATTCCCGCAAATAAATAAAAAATAAACGAAAATGGGAAGAGGCAGGGCAGTCACATTAAAACATTTAACAAACAATTTAACTTCAAATAAGCCAAAGCGATGCAATGTTGGCCAAGAGCGGATGAGGGGGCAGTATACACCAACGCCCAGAGGGAAATAATGTTAGAGTTACACTGTCTGCAGACTATGAAATACCCATTGATTATAGATAAAGAATATGGGATACCTAAAAGGTCAATTTTATATAATAATTTTAATAATAAGTGCGGTCTTTTTAAGCTTCTATGACCACGAAATGGTGAGGTAAGATTTATACTAAGTACGAGGGAGATTCCTTATGAACTACGGCTTACATACTTGTATTATTTCAAGGCTAAACATGACATTTTAAATATATATTTTACCTTAGTTCCCCATTTCCATCATACTCCACAAATACCGAGCATGAAAAACAAGAACAAAAACATCAACAGCAGCACCAACAACTCGTTGAACATCAAAGCAAATTTTGTTAAAGCGTCAAGTGAACGCGTTGCGGCATAAACAAGTTGTGACATTTGAGGGTATAGAATATAACACACACTACAGGGCAAAAGGGGTTTCAATTCAACTAAGAGGGGTAATTTCTCGCTGTGTATGTGTGGGGCATAATGTTTATAAGTAAGTAGAACCACCTGCGTGGCCTGCCAAGTGTGGGTCATACTCACGATTATGTAAGCAAAAAGCACCAAGTGAGTTTGTGGAAAAACCTTGCGAATGTCAGTTGAACTTGGTGACTAAGTTTTAGCTTAACGAAAATAAGTTAGATAAACACCAAAATTTATGGGTAAAGGAAAGTAGATAAAATTGAATTTAGGCTACAAATTTCTAGGAAAGATATCTAGGATTTATTAAAGCAAGAATTCATAAGAAATTACTTAACTTGAAGAGCTTACAATATATGAGAATTGTCCGGGAAAATCCTTAAAAAATATGAATGTAACAGAATATATATTGCTTGTCCCTAATCTCACGAAAGATTACCATCCTCTAAATCGCATAAGTTCAAATTAGTTGGCCAACTTCTACAGACGAAACCCATAAAGATAATCACTGCACATTAGGTGACATTCCAGTCCAGCCCAAGTTTAGTATTTAAGTTTATATAGTATACTTAATATCTATAAATGAATGAAACGCCCACTGCAAAGTAGCAACTTTGCCATTGAAAACATTTTCGCAGAGGTGTCGTCGGATGAGACCGAGACATAGTTTAGAGAGAATCAGACAAGTGACAACTGTTGGGCAGAGCCTCAACTCGGCTTAGTTAAGTTTCTAATCCCCGAATGGCTAATTAGACGCCTTAATATTAATTACAAAAGTTGTGCAAGTCTTAAGCCTTAGGAGAGCATTTTGCAACCTTTTTTTTCTTGTCCATTGTGCAGAAAATACATTACTTTGGACAGACAAAGAAAACTTTTTTGGCAGCACGTTCCGAAAATAATTAATTCGATTTGAAATAAGCTCGAGTTTCGTATGCTTTCACTTTGGATCTTCGGATCGAAGCAAGACCTCAAGTGGAAATAGGAAATGGATAATGGGGTTACAATCGATTTGAAGTGCTCCAGTTACCAGCAGCTCCCTTCGTTATTAACTCTTATTTTTTGTATTGTGATTTGCTTGACACTTACCCTCGGAAACGGCGGCAATGGAAGTGCTTTTAATAATCGACGTTGATTTAAGTTTGGCTGTTTGTTGTGTCTGCTTAATTGTGGCGGCGGTGGCTTTGGTGGCCGCTCCTTTAATATTATTGTTGCCATTGGTTGGTGTTGAGCCGCCTGAAGCGCCATTCAAACGTTTATCTGCAATGATAACGAGGAAAATCTTTGGTTAGCCAAGTGTAGATACATTTTCCAGGCATACTTTTAGGCATTTGGGAAAATAAGAGCCATGGAGATAGAGACTCACTGCTGGTATCGCTGCTCTGTTCTTCAGATTGTTTCCTATTCGATTTCTTACGGCCAAAAGAAAAGAAACTACCGCAAACCATTTTGATTGCAGAGATGGTAAAGAAGGACCCAAATTCAAGATCAAAAAGGTACAAATAAGCTTTGAAAAAAAAACTTACAAATTTTTACAAATTTTATATACACTTTATTTGTTTCGATTTGAAAGGAGCGATAGTTTCTGAAAGTTTTCATTTTCAGTTAGCCAATTGAGTTTTCTAGCAAAGCCTTCTCAGTGGGGTGGAAAATAAATGTTTAATTAAGGTATTTTTTTCATTTTAGGAAAGGTATAGATTTGCATTTATTATAACTTCAGTCAGAAGATTGCAACGCAGAGAAGATATCCTATCCGACCATATAAAGTATTTATATTCTGAGAAACGGTTGTTAAATCTAGAGGATCATAATTACTTCAGCAGTAATTAACTATGATCCGTAAGTAGCTATGACCAAGTAAGTAACTATGATCGGTAATTATGTATGATCAGTAATTAAGTATGATCAGTAAGTATCAATGAACAGTAAGCAACTTTGACCAGTAAGTATCTATGTACACTAATAAACAATGACTTGCAACTTTTGTAACAACACATTTCTGAGACTTGGCCAGTAGCAGTCACTTCGTTCCGGGGATGTTAGAACCAGTTGGGAATCATATGATATGATAACTATGACCAGTAAGTAACTCTGAACACTAAGTATCTATGACCAGCAATTAACTCTGAACAGTAAGTATCTATGATCAATAATTAACTATGATCAGTAAGTATCTATGACCAGTAAGTAACTCTGAACACTAAGTATCTATGACTAGTAATTAACTATGAGCAGTGACTAACTCTGAAGCCTAAGTATCTATGACCAGTGAGTAACCATGATTAAGAAGTATCTAGAACTAGTTAGTATGTATGATTAGTTACTAACTTTGAACACTAATAAACAATGACTTGCAACTTTTGGAACACAACACATTCCTGAGACTTGGCCGGCAGCAGTCACTTCGTTCCGGGGATGTTAGAACCAGTTGGGAATCATATGATATGATAACTATGACCAGTAAGTAACTCTGAACACTAAGTATCTATGACTAGTAATTAACTCTGAACAGTAAGTATCTATAACCCGTAAGTAACTATGATCAATAAATATCTATGACCAGTAATTAACTATGAGCAGTAAGTATAAATGAACGTTAAGTAACTCTGAACAGTAAGTATGTATGATCAGTTACTAACATTTAACACTGATAAACAATGACTTGCAACTTTGTAACAACACATTTCTGAGACATGGCCGGCAGAAGTCACTTCGTTTCGGGGATGTTATAACAAGTTGGGAATCATATGATATGAAGATTAACTATGAACAGTAAGTATCTATAACCAGTAATTAACTCTGAACAGAAAGTATCTATGACCAGTAAGTAACTATGAGCAGTGAGTAACTCTGAACACTAAGTATCTATGTCCGGTAAGTATCTATGAACAGCAAGTTGTAAGATCAGTTACTAACTTTGAACACTAATAAACAATGACTTGCAACTTTTGTAACAACACTTCTCTGAGACTTGGCCGGCAGCAGTCATTTCGTTCCGGGGATGTTAGAACCAATTGGGAATCATATGCACAGATGTGCGAGATTTGATTTGGAACAAATTTTAGCTATTGCAATGAAACTATGGAGGTATTCTTGTATATAATTTTACTAGTATATAAGTCGGAGCGTGGCGAATCGGTGGACATACAAACGATCTTTAAAATAAAGACAAATGTAAAACTGTAAATATAAAATGTATGGGTGAAAGCAGGCATTACTTTATTGTTTTTTAACCCAAATATAAATAATGTATATTGCATTAATTCCTAGTGGTTCCTGGTTTAGTTTAAACATTTTCATGTATTTCTGTTAAAGCAATAAATCAATAAATCGAAAAGAGAATAAATGGCTTGTATATTTTCTTGTTAAGTTTTCTAATTTAATTTCTAACGAACTCTACCAAGCATCCTCTTATTTTTAGTGATCTTTGTAGCTTAATTAGGCAAATCTTGAACTAAATTTTATGCAGTTTTGTGTAATTTTCTTTTCTTAATTATTCACTGATAAAATATGCGTGCAATCATGGAACCTGGCTGGCTATCAATGCAACGTAAATGCACGATGGCAGGGAGCGCAGGAAAAGAAGTCGGAAAGTCTGAAAGCGGAACGATCGGGTTGGTCGCCCGGCATGTCATAATTTGACCAAATTAATGAAATCAAAAGAAAACCAGTTTCCATATTATTCAGTTTTTATCTTTTCTTTTTTTTATTCGCGGCGGAACAAGGTGCATGCAAGCAGTGGAGAATGCCAAAACAGAAACACCTGTTTTCACAGAAACAAGAAGAAAAAAGAAAGATAGAGATACAAAAATGTGGCAAGTGCGTGAGGCATGCAAGCAGTGCATACTATAAAGCAGTAGAAAAAAGATCATTGATCTCTTAAGTAAAGGTTTTCTCTTATGATTTACTCTTTGGCAACATTTTAAAAAGCTTAACAACATTGGCTAGGTTTGAACTGCTTGACAACAATTTGAACTGCTTGCTTAAGTCTGGGTGGTAGAAATATGCCTTAAATTTATGGAATCTGCATTTATTTAAAATTTTAAAAAAATTTCTGGCCAGCAAAAATATAAAAAACAAAATTTCAAATTATTTTAGGTATCAAATGTACTGGAATTTAATATGTTTAAGCCTAAAACAGTGGATTTTAGTATCAGAATATCACTTTTTAAGCTAAATTTCTTGATTTAAGTTAGATTTTCCTGCTTATATTTAATTTTAAAACAGTTTCTAAGATATTTTGTGTTAATATATATTGTAAAGAACTATAGATTGTTGTTTGCTTGTATGGATATTCTAATTTTAGTTAGGTTAAAACGCTGTGAAGGAGTCATTTTCGACACTATAATCTTATATATTCTTGATCAGGATCAATAGGAGAACCATGTTCGATAAAAAAAATAAATTTTCAAAATTTTAAAATTTTATTAATTTTTTATACATTAACTTAAGTTAAAATGTAAAAAAACTTGAGAAAATTTGTATTTTTTTACATTTTAATTTAACTATGCAAATTTATTAACCTAACCAAAACTAACATGGGAAAGTTTTCCGAATTAAAATTAATGCTTTTTTGGCGTAGATATGATTTTTTAAACTTTTATTTGTCGCAAAAATAGTCATATAAAAATATTAATAAATGTTTAATTGAAGAATGCGAATCGATTTCCGTTTCGATCCCATAATTGAATTGCAAACTGCAAAAGTATACAAACTTCGGCTTTTCGAAGTCGTTTTCCTTTCTTGTTTTGGTTTCTTTAAGCTTAGAATCAGACTAATTAACCCAAGTCCTAAGAGAAAGACATCTTAGAAATGTACTTACATTTAACATTGATAAATGCAAGTGTTCTGAAATTCTTTACAAATTCTTTAACTCTTGTTAGCTTAAGAGATACAACTCTCACAAACAACCACTCTCAACACTCTTGAAGTTCTTTCTCTCTTTTCTTGCATACGAATCAGATACAGATACAGATACAGGTTTCCTTGAATAATTAGCATAATTTGCTTCTTTTGTTTTCCGCAGCTCAGAGGCTGCACACCACGAGCTATGTATGTACATACATAGATATATATAAATATATGTCTCTGTGCCCGTTGTCCACTGCTGACCTCATGGCCACTTGGAGAACCCGTATCTCCCTTGTGCTCGCATCCCAATATTGTTTAAAGGTAATTTGCGAGCACTCGCTCTGCAGCTCGTGCTGTTGAGATCATGAGCCCGGTTGTCACCGCTGCCTGGCTTTCAATATAAACCGCAAAAAAGAAGCAATAAAACAAAGCAACAGAGAACTGGAGAAAAAAAAAAAACTAAACAAAACAGCGCCAGAAGCCATAAATGGCTAGTACAAGTCTAGGCGGCAAAAAACCCGGCAAGTACAAACAATGAATTTGTGCCGGCCAAAAAAAAGAGTTTACAATGCCGCGAATGCCAATGTCAACCACTGACACACACACACACACACACACACGGGCTATGAACTTCAAAAGTGAGACAGGGATGGGCGCAACGCCAATCAATCGGAGCATAAAGAACTCTCTGGGCGGTCAGGGATCTACTTCGATCCCCCTCGTTTAAATGACTTTAAATGGATTTACCCACGCTTGGACCAATCGACAAGCAATTACCATGCCAAGCAACCGGATTTCTTGGCTTAATCCGTTCAGGTTCGAGTTCGAACTCCTCCGCATATCCAAAAGATACTCGCACTAAGAGAGGTGCGAAAGTGCCGACGACTCAATCGATCTTGCGCAATTATGCCAATAATCATTTAGGTGTTTTTTGGTTTTGTTTTTTCCTTTTGGCCAACTCGACGAGTGAAGCGCCAGGTAGGCGATACGCGTAGGCATATTGCAAGCACGTTTGCCCCACCGAGTTGGCCACTGGAATACTGAGATTTGCGATTGAAAGCGATCAAATTAAATGGAATTAGGCTTCACGATGGGTGTGCTATGGACAACGAACTTGCATAATAATATATAAGTTTTATTTATCAGTAAATACAAGAAATAAAGGAAGATTTATGTACAGAACCAAATGATAATAGCCACAAAGGGTGATTTTATAGAACTATCTTTACTTATAGCGGCGTTTTGAAAACGTAGAATCACCAAAGCATCGGTGGTTCAGTGGTAGAATGCTCGCCTGCCACGCGGGCGGCCCGGGTTCGATTCCCGGCCGATGCAGAATATTTTTTTTATTTTATTTTGAAGGTATTTAAATATAAATTGAATATTTTTATATTTATTAAAAGTTTTATGATAGATTCAACAATTTGCTAAACAGAAAAGTGCATACATATTTTATTTGCTGAGAAACTTTTATCTCAAAGCTTAGAGCAAAGCATTTAAAATCCGGTTTTGCCAACTTTTCGTGGAGTTTTCGCAGAGATGTGGCAAATTTTCATTGGCAAAAAGGAAAATTTCAGGTAAGAAAATACCAATTTTCGCATAAGCATCGGTGGTTCAGTGGTAGAATGCTCGCCTGCCACGCGGGCGGCCCGGGTTCGATTCCCGGCCGATGCAATAAAATATTTTCTTTTTTTTTTGGTATTTAATATTTTTTAATTCTTATTTAAGTTGTTATAATTGGAATGAGAATATACATCATACATCCAAAGGCAAGCCAATGATTTAATGTATTTTTTTAGAAGCTAACTTTTGTAGAGAAAATAAACGAAGAAGAGAAAAGGCCACACAGATTTAACATATGAAAATACAATTGTTTACTTCATTACTTCACAATATTACATTTAATATGCATGTAAGTCAGATTTAGTTGCAGTTTTAAGCATTTTTAAACGGTTTAAAACCCGTAACGAGTCTCTAGTTTGTACTATTTTCTCTAAACTATTTTGTAGCATCGGTGGTTCAATGGTAGAATGCCCGCCTCCCACGCGAGTGATCCGGGTTCGATTCCCGGCCGATGCAAGGCTAGGGTTTTTTAAAAACCAAAGTGTAAATATATTTTTTAAGTCTCTAAAACATAATCTTAATTTAAACAATGATCATTTTGATGACATCATATAAGAAGCATCGGTGGTTCAGTGGTAGAATGCTCGCCTGCCACGCGGGCGGCCCGGGTTCGATTCCCGGCCGATGCAAAAGCAACTTTTTTTTATATTATTATTAATAATAATATTTTTCCCCCGTTTTGATTAATCTGCGGCTGCATTAATTGCACGAGATGGCGCGCATGTTGACGAAATAAATCTTAATTAGTACAAGAAATTCCAGCCGGTGAGCGTGAGCTTGTTTTTCCCCCGTTGAATATGCAAAACACGTTTCACCAACAGTTTTTCTTGCTCGTGTTTTTCCCCCGTGGCTCAATGTGAAAATAGCTCGATAAGCATGCGCGCTCTGGCATTCACAGTGATCACAAAACCATCGAAGGCGGGGTTTTAAAGTAATGCTAAATTAGACTCTTTTTGCTGGTTACTTTATAAATAGAATGCCTGCAGAAGGAATTCAGCGGAGGAGGCGGCATTCTCTTAGAGGCTTGCAGAGAGCTCTGCGACATTACGAGCAATTTAGCAACATCTCCTCTTTCTCGGAGGGCGAAAAAAAAACACAATGAATTTCCCTATTAAGGCTAATTTATGCAGGGGCTTGCAAACATTTGCATGACCCAGGCACGACCGTAAACAAAATAATGAAACAAACGCACACTCGGAGAAAAAGCAAGACAAAAGCAAAAGAAATGAGGGGAAAAAATAAAATAAAATAAAGTTTGCATCGGCCGGGAATCGAACCCGGGCCGCCCGCGTGGCAGGCGAGCATTCTACCACTGAACCACCGATGCTTTTGGTAGCTTCGGGCAGAATATTCCACATGAAATTGGCAACAATCAATAGTTCTATGATTTATGGATTTATAGAGTTTGCTGCCTTTGGTTGTCCCACTTTCGTGGCAACATTAGTTGTGGCAATTTATGGGGTCAACGAATTTCGAAGCATATACAACAATAGTGCTTTTGCTATGTTATATATAAAGCAGATGATAATGAAGGCCTTGCCATTTGGATTTCATTAATTGAACATGTGGCAACAGATTAATTTAATTAAAATGCTGAGCAACATGTGAATTATGCTAAAAAACACTTATTGTTCATTTTGAGAAACTTTCAAGTGATGAAAGATGAAATAATTAGGAAGTCTTAGGATAGTTCTAGAAATCTTTTTTGGGTCTTGGTTGTAGTTTCTAAATTTATATATAGAAAATTAGCACTAAACTAGGAGAAGTATGTTTACAAATCTAGAAAATGAATTCAGGTTTGTTTATAAATGATATTTCAATATTAGATATTTCTTTCTTCTGACTTTAATTCAGTAAATTATGTTTTAGGTAAGCTTTTCTTAAATTCCTAACCCTAGCACCTCTTAAAAAAGGTAATTATTTAACATTTTACATATTCCTCAACCTTATTTGATTTCCTTTGAAAATCTCCATAAAATCAATGAAGCAATCAGTGCCTTTAGGTATTTTCCACAGAACCGATTACCACATTCGCTTCAACTGGATGAGGACAGATGACTCACTGAAAGTGACTCAACGAGGCCGAATTTGCGAACAAAAAATAAGAAATCCCCTGGCACAAGGAGTCTGGGGCATGCTGCGTGGACTCCAAAGCCCAAAAAGACATAATGTCACCTCGCCAGCTGTTGGCTTATTGCAGCTGGCACAGATTTTGCTGGATTTTCCTAGCTAAACTGTGGGAACGGAGCGCTAAATTATTTCCCTCTATTTTTTTGTTTTCCTCAAACTGCGAATAGCGGACACTGGAAGCTAAGATACCGCCCTCAATTGAAATATAGCAACTTCATGGCTGGACCAGACAATATATACGACACTTTTATGGCTAAAAGAAGGGAGGAGAAGGTGAGGCCAGGTGAACTGGCCAAGATTCAGCAATTCATTGAGGGCAACACCAGATGAGTATTCTTCACCTGAGCGATGATTTCGCAGTTAACAGGGAGCAGCAACTCTTTCAAGTTTATGGCGAAAGGGACGGACAAGGGCGATTCTTGACAAAAGTTGACACCTTTCAAGAGGAATTTCAAAGAAGCTGCAAAAAGTCAAACGGTGTGCAAGAAAAGTGTCCAAGTTTTGACGATGAGTTTTAATGAGGGAAGTCAATCAAGATTTGTTTTGGTCTGGTAAGTAGAAGATACATTATTATAGTGCGAAAGTGTGGGAAACATTGTAGATTAATTAGGGTAAAAATTGCAGATAGTTTTGTAGATTAACGAATAAAAGAGTTACTAATGAACTAATTAAGGGATATGTTATTTATTTTTTTTAAGAATTAAAAATGTATAGAAATAAACATTTATAGAAAAAATAGAGATGTCTGAAATCCAAAATCAATACCTAGTTTTATTTCAAGAAGAAATAGAAGTGCATTCAAATTTTTGTGATTTAATGTAACTTGAAAATGTCTCTTAGAGACAGCAAATATTGTAAAGAGCATACTTCTTCAACATATTTTTTAAATTTCACTAACTTCTAGACAGTTTTATTTCCAGCACTAGAGGGTATTAAATAATTGTCTTCATATTTTATGTCACTTAAATTCATTTAAAATGTATTTAAAAGTATGCAGTGAGGGCTTAGAAGAAGTTTATCAGCATACATGGGCTAAGTTTTCTAAGATTTCTCTTTTAAATCAGTTAACATTTATATGACACACCTCCGTAAATATTAAAAATAAATTCTCGATATGACACACCCCTATAAATATTTAATAACTTCACACCCGAAAAAAAATGTAAATAAATAAATGGCTTAAACTATTAAGCTTTCAACATTAATAATTTTGCTGTGGCAAAATTTCTTCACTTACGGATTGTTGTGGTCGTGGGCGTGGTTAATGATTTGTTACGCGTGGATTGTCCCTTGGCCGTCTGTTGTGTTTTTGGTGGCGGACCCAGATCCGTTGGCGATATGCTCAGATTGCGCACATCCCGCTTTTTGGCAGCTCCTGCAAAAGATACAAAAAACGAGACGAGGTGTGAAATGAGTGTACTTTGTCGCCTCCCCAACACACAAACACACACAATCGATATATGAGATGTCGATGGGATAATTTATGCGGGAACACGTTGCCATCCATTGCAAAAGTTTTAAAGTGTCTGAGAGTTTGTTGCTTGCCCATTTAATAACTCAAAATACTTGAGAGCAAAAGCATCGCTCACACTCTTCAATTTTCATAAATGATTTTCTTCTGCCATCAGCAGGGGGTCCCTTTATTTTTTATAATTTTTGTTGTTTTCGAAGGGGTGCGCTATTTGCATTTCAACGTTTTGTGGACTAAAACAAAAAACGTTTCCATAATTGAAGTGTCTGCTCCCAAGATGTAAGTATACAAATAAAAGGGTGAAATTATATTATGCCAGTGCATGCCTCCATTAATACACAACGGGAAACTCTTATTTGCCACATGAAAGAAAATCGAAATGTGAATGGGAGAGCTGCTTAATTCATAGTTTTTGAAGTGTACTTTTCTAAGAACTAAAGAACAACTAAATTGTGCAACAAATACAACTTCAAATACAGAGAATTTTAAGTATGTTTATATTATATTTGTAACTAAGCCGGAAATAGTTTTATCTCTAGATTCTTCCACGTTAAAGATATATTAATTTTACAATACTATCTGGTATTTATAGAGAAAGCCTTTCGAATAACTATCTTTATAAGATCTCCCTCTTTAAAGTTGAAATTTTCCATAGATTATCTTTAAAAGCTAATCTAATTTTTCCACAATAAACTGGCATCTGAACCTTCTTTTGGCAATCAATCATATTTTATGCTCTTTTGCCGGCCACTAATCAACTTCGATTCACCTTAACTTGGGGGCTGCCTTAACGACCCTTTATTGTCTGTTTTCATCGACTTGGGCTTGGTTTCGACCATCTTCAGCTTTTAGTTGGCCCAACTTGGCACTTGTTAGCCACCACCAGTATTTTGTGGCTGCTTTTGCTAGGGCCTTGGCCAGGTAATCAACAAAGTTGGCTGGGAAAAAATGCATTTCCGACTTGACCACAAAAGCGGTGGCAGGCAGTAACAGCAGCTGCTATTCCTCGGACAACGTAATAAATTTTATTTTAGCCGTTGGCTAATTGTACTGGACATGGACATGGAAATAAAAGTTGCATGTGCGCGGCGGCTTAAACCAAATGAAAAAGTTGTAGAGAGAAGAGCCATTGCACTGCGTCACGTAATCCCTTTGTGTCCCGGCTTATCGGGAATGATAAGCCGCAGACAGTAGTTGGAATTTGTGCAATGTTATGGAATTAGAATTTAGTTTCAGATTTACAATGTCAAAAATAGTATAAATGCACTAATTAGATTTTAAAGCTTTAGATATATAGGTAAACATAATCAAAATGCATTTATGAGCAACTTCTTCACATATTTATTTCTTTTTGCTTGGCTTATGCAACCCTTCAAGTTAATGCCTTCCTGGCAATGTGAGCTCAGCCCCATTACAAGTTGCCTCATTAGCATTTACCTGTAACTCTCCTCTCATAACCGAAACTCACCTTTCGTAAAGCCTTTGGAGGCACGCTTGCCAAAGCTGCCAAAGCGTTCCCTCTCGATCACCTGAGTGTGGATATAACGCTCGGAATATGAACGCGACAGTTTCTCCTTGGAACTGTGGGCACCCATTATGCGACTTTTCTTTACTTTTTTGCCTTATTTAATACACGTAAGAGTGAGTTTTCCTGCACGGATGCAGGTCTGATCGATATCGCGATTTGAAATTTCACTTTCACAGGCTTAAACTACACACCCGCGCACAATCTCCAGACGTCGGTGAATTTAATTTGATGTTGTCGCTGACAATTGCCGCTTGAATGCATTTTGCTTTGTTTGCTTTTTATTTTTATATATGTATAAAGTTATTTTTTTGCTCTATGATTACCACAAGGTTGTCATTTGATTGGTTTTTTGTAAATACACTCCATATATACTTCCTGCAGTTGACATTGAATAGATTTATAATGGTTAGATTTAATTGCCATTCACTATAGAGGTACCCATTAGCCAATTCAATTAGCCGCCTCATTAAAGCCTGACTAGCATAAAAAGTCTTCGTTTTTTTTTTGCTCTCCCGCCCACAACTTTAATTAAATTATTTTTAATGGCGCCATCCATGGGATGCTCCAATTTTATGGCATTTTCCACATACTCACTGAGGGAAAAGGCATTCAAAGAATCGCATTAAAATACGAATAAAAAACAAACGTGGGATATTAAAAGTTTTTTTTGACGGTGCCAACAACCAACCTAGACACAGAAATCCGAAATAGACAAATACTTAATCGCTCAGACATGAAAACTATTTTATATTTAATTGAGCGTAAGGCTCTAGTGCAAGTATTTATTATTATACTCTTCCAGAGGTTGTTTTCACTATGTACGAGGAGATAAGAAAGGGTTTTATAAACGGTATAACATATATATATGCCAAATAGAGAAAGTAAATAAAGATATTCATATAAAATATGAAGTTTCAAATATTTATTATAAAGTGCTTAGCAAACGTGTGTTCATGTTGAACGTAAGGAATCCAAATTATTAAAACTAACGACATTGTTAACAAAAAAGAAAATCCAACACAATTTGAATTTGTAAGATTAAAAAATTGTATTACTCAAAATTTTATTGTGTAAAATATACACAGTAAATGCTGAGAATCAGGTGAACTAGTAAGTAATATAATTATATAAATTATTCATCTTAAGATCATACAAAAAATCTCATAAAATAAATAACAATTTCCTTATATTTTACCTCCAAAAAATAATTATTAACAATTACAAACTACTTATTATGTCACCTAGGGTATAAGAAAATTAGATATACACAAAAACCCAGCTAAATGTGTAATTTGCTTATTTCTTAAATGCCAAAATAAATGCTCCTTCTTGTTGGAATTTCGCAATGAGAATGATTAATGGTCCGAAAAATAGAAGACGCTTTCCTATGCGACAAAGCGACCCCAATTTTCCCCAGTTTTTCCCCAATTTGTTGTCTTGTCTTTTCCACTGCGGATTCCAAGCAAAGAAGAGCAGCAGGTGCAGCATGAACGACTAGGAAACTATTGCAACACAATCCAAATAAATCTTCAAGTGAGGAGGAGGAAAAAATGTTTGCATTTCTCCTACTCTTTTGCACGGTGAGTTGCTGACAGGTTTGAATGTCATCATAAACTTAACAAAGGCGAGCCAAAAATGAAACCCAAACCGAAATGAGCTGACAAATTGCACGCTATGATTTGTGGCAGAGCATTTCAATGTGGAGCAACGACATAGAAAACTGGCAAACTGGCTTACAAAATAACAAAAAACACAAAAACAAAAAACAAAAATCCAAACAAACAAAATGAAAATGAGTGAAAAAGACACACGTTTCCCAGTGGTTTGAGTAAAAGGGAAAATTATGCTGGCACAGTGGTTAATATAATCTGAATTTTTGAAGAATTTAATGATATGTTTTTGAGTTTTAAATAAATCAAAAGGAGTTATGGCGATATATATATTAATTTTAAAAGAAAAGTTAGTCAGGGAAAAAGGAAGAAGTAATATTCGATAGTATTAATTGATCACAAGCATTCTCCTGCTCACTATCTTCTACAAATAGTATATTATTGCTATTTCTAAATAATTTTGAACTATAACTTTCCCCAAAACCAAGTATACCCATTTTCCATCTGGGATCCCTGGTCAGTCACAGAAATCCCACAGTATTCGCTCCATTTGGCAGACAAAGCACAACCCCATTGCTATGAATAGCATCGGCGCCCTCTTTAGTTCTTTATTTTTTTCTTAGGCCTGCAAATGTCAATCTAACCTGGCCACCGACTATAATTAGCCCCCCGAAATGCAACACACAAAAAAGGTGTCAAATGTTCACTCCGCGGCAAATAGGAATTTTCATATCCATTCGATTTTATTGTTAGCTCTAAATTTAGTCGATTGGAAATATTTCTGGAGGGGAGCATAATTCACATGACTTGGCACACGGATTCAATACCGAATGTCAAATGCCTCAAATGCCGGAAGTTTTCCACGACAATAAATGTGAAACGGAAGTGGTGGGATAGTCCTCAAGGGCAACCTCGATTTATTGTGATATTTATAAAGTTTTTTTAGTTAATGGAGTTTTTTTCTTCTTGTCATCTGGGAATGACAGCTGACGAACGTAAAGTTTTGCCAATTCCTGGGGGCTCTCTTATATTTAAAATGCAAAAATTGAATATGACTTTCAATTAAAAGTTGGCCGATGCCGCCGTTAACTTTGCCTCGTGTGGGTGGTTTTTGCATTTTTCATTGGCAAGCGCTTTTCCAAGGGGGAAGCGGGGGAAACCCCAGGTGGCTGAAAAACGGCGGAAGCTGGAAAAGCAATTAATCGCTGGCGCAGGAGAGTTCGGAAGGAACTTTCCAGTCACGACATCAGAAAGGCGGAGGAGGCGAGCATAAATTTACATAATTTAAGAGAGGCAAGTGCAACGTCAATTGTTGGTATGAAATATGGCAATGAAACAAGATTAAAGAGTAAATCAAACACATATTTAAGTAAATTCTGTTTGAGCTGATTGTGGTTTAAATTTAATTTTGTAATTTACAGAAGTAAATCTGTGAAAATATGTTGTTATGAGAATGCTTTTCTATATAACAAAGTACAGTTTAAATATATATAAAACATATTAACTATGAGCAGTAAGTATGAACATGAACATTAAGTATCTATGATCAGTGACTAACTCTAAACACTAAGTATCTATGACCAGTAAGTATCTATAACCAGTAAGTAACTATGAAAAGTAAGTATGTATGATCAGTTACTAACTTTGAACACTTATAAACAATGACTTGCAACTTTTGTAACACAACACATTTCTAAGACTTGGCCGGCAGCAGCCACTTCGTTCCGGGGAGGTTAGAACCAGTTGGGAATCATATGCCCAGATGC